CTACAGGGCACAGACGGGTTAGGGTTAGGGTTAGGGTTAGGGTTAGGTTAGGGTTAGGGTTAGACCAGGACCAGGACCAGGACCAGGACCAGGACCAGGACCCATCTGAGACCTGGATATTTCTTATTATTTTCTATATTTTTATATTATTCTATATTATATTTTCTATATCTATTTTTTCTATATTTTCCATCTCAGACCTGGACCAAGACCAGGACTCATCTGAAAGTATTCATATAAAAACCAGTGATTAGCTGTGATATTTTATTTATTTATTTATTTATTTATTTATTTATTTATTTATTTATTTATTAATTAATTTATATTTAATTATTTTGTATTATTTTTTCATTTTAAATTAATTCTTTTTATTTAATCTTTATGGTTTATTGTCTATTATTTATCATCTATAATCTATAATCTGTCATCTCTCATCTATTATTTATCTATTTAATTTATTTTTAAATTATTTCCAAAGTAGTATTATCGTCTGTACTGCTGCTCTTTATGTCTGTTTTTTAAGTTTTTTAAATCTGTGGTGCCGTTTTTTTATTTAAGACATCTTTTTAAATCTAAAAAATCTACCCCCGTTTTCTAAGTTCTGAGTTATTTTTGACAACTTTTGAGTTTTAAACCCTTTTTAGATGTTTTTTTTCATACACTTTTCTGCTCTTTTAGGCACTAAAGTCTCTGAATGAGGGTCAGAGTGGAGGAACAGGTTCAGTATTTATTTATATTAATATTATTTATTAACTATGAGGGGACCCAGTTAGACTCGTTAAACTTAGTTTCTCACCAGAGGAACTCTGATATTTGTTGGGATTTCGTGTTTGACGGAGAGTCACATGCTGTCTGAGGGGGGGGGGGGGGCATAGTTTCCCAAGGCATGATGGGAAATAACACAGAACTGGAGGGACGGGGGTTTAAAAGGAGGGTTATGTTTATGTTCATGTTTTTTATTTTTTTTTGTGGCTTTTAAAGCTGTATTGGGGAGTTTAAAGCAGTTTTTTGGGGGTTTTAAGTCTGTTTTGGGGGCTTTTAAAGTTGTTTTGTGTCTTTTAAAGCTGTTTTTTGGGCTTTTAAAGCTGTTTTGTTACTTAAAAATCTGTTTTGGGGGCTTTTAAAGCTGCTTTTTGGAATTTAAAGCAATTTTTTGGGGCTTTTAAAGCTGTTTTGGGGCTTTTCAATATTTTTTGAGGGCTTTTATATTCACATTTCTGAATTTAGACACTCTTACTGTTTTTAATCTGTGAGTTTGTCTTGTGTGGAGGTGATAATTGTGTTTTATGATCTGCTCAAATGGCCTGTACAGCGCTTTGATTTTAGCTTTGGCTGACTGAAAGCGCTTTATAAATAAAGTTGAGTTGAGTTGAGTACTCTGTCATCTCTCTTTAAATAATTTAAATCTGCCCATAACGACAAAACAACAACAAAAAAACACACACTTTTAAAAAATACTTAATATAAAATATCGGACCCACAGTAAATTACTCAAACTGAAATTAATGGATAAGGACTCCTGTTGGAAATGCCATAAATAATTAAATTAAATTAAATTATATTTTACTTCTATAGCTCCACATCCCAACAACAGTTATCTGACAGCTTTCCAAACGTAATATTTACAGAAGAACAACAAGAACAAGCACTAGGCGACACAGGGAGGGAAAAACTGCCTTTAGGGGGAAGAAACCTGGAGCAGAACCATGGGGGGTTCTCACTATTACACAATAACACACAGACTGGATTAAAAATGGCAAAGATATTGATACTAATGATGATGATAGCAGTCATAATAGCAATTATTATTAATATTATCATAAAGAAGTGGGCATCTTAGTAAATTTGCTCTATGGCTGAGACAAAAATGATCAGTTTTGGTGGAATCATCACTTTCTTCAATTATTATTTATTATTATTATTATTATTATCTTCAACTTAATTTGTCTAAATCTCCTTTCTTATGTATTTTGGGGGAGTTACCAGAGAAAATTAGTCTGTGGGAAGACCTGATTATTAAACTGGCCTCATACAAAAGGGTTATATTCAGTAGTAGAGGGAGATAAAGGCAGTTCGGTCAGGTTTGGGGGGATTTTTTAATTATAGAGAAGACATGACTGGATAAATGTCAAAAAGACTATTAAAGATAAAACATTTAGCTCAGAGGTCTAGGTTTGATATGTGGTGTAAGTGGTACTTTGTTTTTTTGTTGCTTTTTTTGTTGCTTTTTTGTTGTTTACTTCCATTTTATTTTGGTTTGTGTGTTGTTGGTTCTTTGATATATTCAAAAGGGACAGAAAACTGATGGATGTTTACAATTTTCTGGATTTCATTGATTTCTATGTTTATCTGTCTGTCAAAAAGACTAATAAAAAAAATAGCTCAGAGGTCTAGGTTTGATATGTGGTATAACATGGGCACTTTGTCTTTTGTTTTTTTGTTTTTTGTTTTTGTTTTTTTTGTTGTTTACGTCTATTTTATTTAGGTTTGTGTGTTGTTGGTTCTTTGATATATTCAAAAGGGACAGAAAACGGATGTATATTTACAATTTTATGGATTTCATTGATTTCTATATTTATCTGTCTGTCAAAAAGACTAATAAAAAAAATAGCTCAGAGGTCTAGGTTTGATATGTGGTGTCAGTAGGCACTTTTTTGTCTTTGTTTTAGTTTTTTTGTTTGCTTGTTGTTTGTTTTTTGTTGTTTTTTGTTGTTTTTTGTTGTTTTTTTGTTGTTTACTTCCATTTTATCTTGGTTTGTGTGTTATTGATTCTTTGATATATTCAAAAGGGACAGAAAACGGATGTATATTTACAATTTTCTGGATTTAATTTATTTCTATGTTTATCGTTCGGTCAAAAAGACTAATGAAAATAAATACATTTTAAAAAGACTCAGTTCTGGCTCAGATTAAATATGGAGTGGTTTGGGTTTGGGTTTGGGTTCAGGTTCAGGTTCAGGTTCGGGTTTTGGTTTGGGTTTGGGTTTGGGTTTTGGTTCAGGTTTGGGTTTGGGTTTGGGTTCGGGTTTTGGTTCGGGTTTGGGTTTGGGTTTGGGTTCGGGTTCGGGTTTTGGTTCGGGTTCTGGTTTTGGTTCAGGTTCGGGTTGGTGTTTGGGTTTGGGTTTCGGTTCGGGTTCGGGTTCGGGTTCGGGTTCGGGTTCGGGTTTGGGTT